GCAATCGCGGCACGAGCCTGCTGATCCACCGGCTCCATGTTCAGCTCCACCTTATCAGGCTCCAGCACCAAGAACGGCTCCTTGACCTTGGCATCCAAGTCTCCAAAGGCTTCAGCATCACTACCAAGCACGCCGGCGCAAGCCGGGAAGGCTCCTCCGAGCTTCCAACTCTTCATATCTCTATCCCACTTTAAAACACGATGTCCCTCCAAGAAATCAAGATCCACGTTGTTGGCCCTCGCGAAAGCCTCCAGGTCACTGAGGGTTTCTTCCTCCACGTACCCACCGGAGTCACTGCCTTCAAGAAGGGTCTTGCAGACATGATTCTGCACACCATGAACCACTTGTCTCGCGGTCAGAACGTAGTCCTGGGACCCATGCTGAGAGTAGGCCCAACGCCCCAAGGAATCCCGCTTCTCCTTTCCCACTTCTATAGCTGCGGACAGGCTGGGCAATGTGTGCCTGCCTGAATGGCCTGTCCAATAACGCACCATCGCCCCTGGAATGAGCAGCGCACGACTCAGGCCCCAGCGTCCCTCATGCCTGAAAGGTGTCCGCAGCTCACTGAGGAAGCGGCGTATCTGAAGCGAAAGGCCCTCGGCATCCATGAATTCCCTATCACAGTCCTCCCAGTTTGTATTGAAATGAGGACACAAGTAATCCCTAGGCCAACCGAAATCCTCCGTGTTCAAGAGGCGCATGCCCTCAGACATCCAATCAAGTCCCGATAGCCCCGTGGTGAGCGAGATGAAGCCGGGGAGAGTGCCAACACGACGCCCCGGTCCCGATGTCTTCGTCCGCCCTAAGGCGAAGTGCAGACCCACTCTTGATAGCCGTAGGCTGGCCGGATCGATGTTCTGCACATCATCCGCTCTCAGGGTTCCCCAGATCATAACCAAGAGAATGAAGGCCATGACACGATAGCCCACTGCAATGCTACTCTTCCGCACCACCAGCTCGCACGCCAGCATGATTGCAACCGTATACATAGGGGCTTGCTTTACCGGCAATGAACCGGCCTCCAGCTCCGCTTGCCATGACCTAACACTCTCAATAAGCAAGCTGTCGTGGCTGTACCTGTCAGAGCTCGGAACACTCTCTAGCAAAGAAAGGGAAGACAGGAGCCCCCCCGGTACAGTCTTTGCCAATGGCTGTACCTCGCGCCGCTCTTCAAGGTACTTCAAGAAAGACCCCACCTCATCCGGCCAAACCTTGCCCTGCGAGACCTGAAGCCAAGAGCGAAACCCTCGCCACGACATAGCACGATTGCGTAGGGTCTTCGACCTGCGATTGCCGAACAAGCGAAGCCATTGATTGTTATGCCCGCCCATCGCAGACATCCTCTCTGCACACGGAAGATTGGCTTCTTTGATATATGTAACCAGTTCTAGGCCCGACCTTTCGCGAGCCTCTTTCTCCCGTTCGTCTCGCCCTGCTTGAGCTAGCCGTCGAGCTTTGATAGATCGCTTCAAGCCTTCCAGTGCGATGGCAGGACTGCTTTCCACAAGTGCAGTAAAGATGGCCCCGGGATCCGGACGACCTTTGTACCCTGCAGATGATTGTGAAGACAGCCCATCACTCAATTGCTTAGCCAAGCTCGGAGCCATTTCTCCTCGACGCTTCCATGCGCCCAGGCCCCGGGCCATTGCAGCCACCTCACCTGGTGGCCTGTGTGGCAACAGCTCTGCGACCAAATCGGCAGCTTCGTCCATTGTATCAAAAGCACCATTGAATTGTAACTCGTTGTTGTAGACAGCAGCTACAACTCCTGATCGATCCTTCTCAAGAAAACCCAGCTTGCACCAACTGAAGTACCATCAGCTGCCCGCTTTCCCATCCTACTGTCGTCGCTGCACACTCAGCAAGAAATTGTAGGTGATGCGCACAGCCAGGTCAAACGTAAAATCCGGAAGAACCTCGGAGTAATCCAAAGATGAACTTGCCAGCGCGGATATGTCGGCCGGCTCCAAGAATGGGAGCAGCGAACTCAAGACTGCAAAATTCAAAATGCACTCGAGCTCGTCGACAGCACTGAACCCCGAACTGTCAGTGTCGGCAGTAGAGGCCTGCGAGCTATCGCTGCCCTCACCCGGATTGGCCCACGGCTCGCCGCCGTCCATGCGCCGTAGGTCCCCTGCCCCTACTGCTAAAAAGAAACTACCTCCAGGCCACAACTTTGCGCGTGCATCATTGATCACGATCCAACTTCCAAGCATTCAAATAAACATGCATTCCAAGCGTCTATTTTTTTTTAACTGGCAAGGTCAGAGGACACCATCATCGATCCCCCCCACCCACCCGGTCAACTCAAGTGACAATCGATCAGGGTAAACCCGAATTGTAAGATCTGAACGTGGACCACATAGGTAAAGTTTGGCAGCGCCCGCATTGTGATGCACAGTTTACTACCATGGCTGCTTTGAAGGTACATGCGCAACGTAGTCACGATAAGAGGGACACCCAGGGACATGACTTTGACAAAGCGGCTACATGGTCTCCCGATCTGTCGTTTCTGCAAGAAGTCGTTCTCCAGGTGGCAAACACTGGCAAATCATATTAAGTTTGATGCTTGTCCGGTCAAACAAAGTGTTGAGTCGACTGAGCCACCTGAAACAACGACGGCGGACCTGGCGCTTTCTAGACTAGACAGTCTGCCTCCTCGCAGGAGGTGTCGGGGAAATTAAAAGACAGCAATGTGGCTGAACATGCAACTGTCGGTACGAGTACACTGAGTTCATTCGGCCCGCTTCGCTCAGGACAAGTCTTATCCCACACCCCCAGATCAAGGAAGCTGCTGAGAAGGGCCTGCGTTGCTTCATTCAGATTCCTGAAATCACTAAAGCCTTCAAGCAAACATGTGCGTTGTGTGGACAGTGGATTGCCTCACATAAGACTGTCAAGCTTCACTATCGTCAGATGCATTCAGAGTTGTTCAAAGCGCACCAGACCTCGGCTAATCGCATTATTTCTCAGTGTGCGACGGCATCCATCCGGTGTCACTACTGCGGCGGTCACTACAAGGACTGGAGGGCCCACATGAACAAGTGCACGGCCATTTGGCAGGCAGCCATGCTATGCAGCTTGACAAACCAGGATGGCTTTCGTGGGGAACCTGGAGATGAACGAGTTCTTCGGCTCGGTCAAGACCCTGGACTCAGATAACTCGACAGCCTCGGCCTCGGACGAACCCAACGGGAAAAGACGGCGGGAGCAGCAGTCCAACTGGGGCCATCGGGGGTCGCATCACAACCGCGGGGGCTCCAACCACAACGGCTGGAACAACCATGGGTGGGGCGGCAACAGAGACAACAGTCCCTTGATACCTACTTTGGCAAGACTAGCGATCAAGCTGGACGAGGAGGTCCGCATCCTCAAACAAAACACAGCCATAGTATTGTGGATGAAACCGGGAGCGGACTCCGTACTTCCGCTTCTCTTCAGTACTGCGAGCGAGTTGAAGAAGCAGCACAAGGACAACCCCAGCTTCAGCCTAGCTCATGTGCCGCTCAGGGCGGTACTTGCCCTGGCCATGTTCAGGGAACTTGGCAACAGACTGGAGGCCGTGCTCAAGAACCCGGACATGGTCAAGGATGCAGAGAGCAAAGGATGGAAGGACCAGAATGGGTGGAAGTTTCAGGTATGGAACCCCACACTTCGCCACCTCGAGGCGGATCGGGAGAAGCAGCCGGCGCCGGATGCACAGATGCAGCTGGCGATCATCAATTTCATTGCACCCGCAGGATGACCGAGGCGATGGACTCCGGCCAAACTGTGGAGCCTGCGAATGGAACTTCAGGGCAACTGTGTGCTGCAGCTTCTTGGGCTGGCTTATCGCAGGGAGGGCCTCAAGCCGTCTCCGCTGGCCCAAAGATTGCGGGAGCTGGTTTATCGTTGAGGCTCAACTTGGTGAACACGGGAAATGTGTCTTACATGAACTCCTTGGTACAGGCCTTGGCTTGGGTTGCGGACCAGCAGAAGGCCCCACTTGAGGTTTCTCTTGGTCCAGGCGTGGCGGCATTCTTCCATGGTCTCTTTCGTAAGCTTGGCGCACAACGTCTCACGCAGGACATCAGATGGAAGCTTCTGATACAGGGGTGGAGGCACAATGGATGTCAGCATGACGTTTGTGAATTCCTTTCTTTCTTGACGGACAGGCATGGTTTTCCTATGCTACAAGGGAAATGGCAAGCTCGAGGGTTTGCGGATGATGGGGTGGGGCAGCGCATGGACCGCGGGCTTTGTACTCAGCCGATTGCACTGCACTTTTGTGATCCGCCACCCGGTTTACGTTCAACACTCAGGGTTTCGGACATGCTCAACTTTTGGCATTGTGGGCAGGCGGGCATTACATATGCACTGCAGGCCGCTTCAGCAGTTGTGGCGCTAAAGCTGTGTCGCTTCAATGCAAGTGGTCGAGACATTGTGAAAAACCTAGTGGAGGTCATTTTGGACCCTTCGATACAGATGCCCTGCTTCTGGGGGCAAAGGCGGGATGTGATCACACGTCGATATGATCTGGCAGCTTTCATTGTGCATCATGGTGATACGACTGAAGCTGGCCACTACACCACTGTTCTCAGACAGGAGCAGAAGAGCTGGAACTGTGACGACGGTCGTTTTGCCCGCAAGTTCCCTTTTGAAGAGTACGCAGACGCAACTCTGCAATAGCTACTTGCTTTTCTACGTCCTCAAAAATGAGGAAGACCTGCACATGCTTGGCTCCTAGGAGCGGTGTGCAAAGGTCCTTTTGATCGGATTCAGCAATAAGCTGAGCGCTATGCGCCGGGCAATAATTGCCAGATCGAACGACCTGTCGCTTGGTGCGGCGGACTTTCCCCACTGCGAGTGAAGCTGAAGCTGCTACTGCTACTGCTACTGCTACTGCTACTACTGCAAGCATCTCGGCTGGAGCGCAGCCCCACGGTGTAGAGGCCTTGTGAAATGGTCTGTTGTGCAGCCGCGATCCAGATTTGAACAACAATTTCCGGCTCTGTGCAGCAGATCTTTTGCGTTAGATGCACTGGGATTCCTGGCTCATTCTTTTGATAGGTGGGCTGCTTGAAGTTCCTGTGGTGACATGTCACTCGGGAGAAACAAGATGCCAGCCTCCCCTTGCCGCGAGTATGCACGCGAGCTCAGCCAAAGACGTCAGACCAGACTTCACTTCCGTAACTACTTGGGGCAAAGCATGCTGCAGGAGGCTCGGGGATGGCTTTCAAACCCAGACTTCTTCAATAGCTGGGATCTGTGGTGGCTCGACGCTCACCCAAGAACATTACTGTTGGCAGCCCGTGGCAGCATGTACCCTCCCGACGAGCGACTTCTGCAACGCTGGTGTGACCTTTACTACCCTGCCCTGCATTGTCTACTATGGCCTGAGCCAGCAGATCCCAGCGGGCTGGGACAGATCGATCTGCATAGCTTGGACTAGGACGGGGCATGCCGCACTTAGGAACCAGTCATGGCAGGATGAAGGCTGCCTGGGGAAAAAGTATAGGAGATGGCGATTTCGATACAGGACTGCAGGAACCACGACCAGACGCCGCCGCGTCAGGACACGGCGCCGCTACTTTGCTCAACCCTACTTGCGCCGGATCAGGACATGGCTTCACAAGCACCGGGACCTGGGCGCGGTCATCTCCGGTGTCACGTGCCCCGTGCTTTTTGGAGTGTTCAGAGTTTTCACGGAGGCAGTGGTTGTTATCCTGTATTCGGATTTGATGGCCTGGCTCCAGGAAACGGTGACACTAGGACACTAGGACCTGACTCGGCCGTTGGAGAGGAGACTGAGGCGGAGGGCGGTTCCCCGCCTGCACGCGCGGGGGATGACCATAGTGTGCCGAAGGGGCCCCCTCCTCCTCAACCGATCCAGGTCCTGCGCAGCATATCTCAGCAGATTTCCCTTGCGGTGACCAGTGCACTGGAACAGAATGGAGTGCAGCCAGCCAGGGTGCTGACACATATCCCTTTTCAATGGAGGGAGATGACTGAGCTCTCCGTCAGGATTGCTCCCCTCAGTGCTCGGGAAACCGATCATCCCAATCTGCTTGAATGTGGTTCTGATCCCGGGGCCTTGGCTTCGGACGACTCCATCCTGGATGTACTAATGGCAATAGCTGCGGACATGCATCGGGAAGGCCGGCGGCAGCTCACACCAGATGAAATCCATCGACTCGAATTGGATGCTGAATTTCGCGAGCTGTTCAGGGACATCGAGGGCGAAGATGACCGAGGCCATGGGTCAGCAGAGATGGCCACAGCGACTCCGGCGTCGTCCAGCACGGCCGGCCATGGTAGTGCAGCCAGCGCGAAGCCGAAGGTGGCCAGGGGCAACAAGCCACAGCCTCATTCTTGCTCGGCACCACACCTCAGTCATGTCGTGTCTAGGCTCTCTTGGATTGTCTTTGCTCTTTGGGTATACCTAGGCGGAGCCGCTCTGAACGGGGTTAAAAGACAAAGCTCTGATAAGAGTAGATCCCGGAGCGAAGCAGTTTCTCTGACAACCAGACTGCTTCTGCTGATTTGCGCAGCGGATGAGCACCTTGAGAGTGGCAGACGGTCCGAGCAAAAGAGACATTGTCGGCTTTGCCTTGGTGAACGTTGCACAGACATGTACTACATCCTTACAGTAATGACATTCCCGTGGTTGGCCAGGTACAGAACCGGGCGGTCATGGCGGAGTCCCTCACAGAGTTCACGGAAGGAGCATTGGTTCCAGGTTCTTGAGTACTTGGAAGTGATCCTCGTGTTGCCTGTCAGGAAGCGGTGCCATTTCCTTGCAAAGATGCTGAAGCAACAGGCGCAGGCCCTACTCGCTCTTGCTCGGCTCGTACCACCATTTTGGCCAGTCATACATCTGATTGCAGCAGGCTACCCGTGGCCTCAAAGATCCAGCTGGACCGGTCCCAAGTCCGGTCGCACCGCCCGAAGGCAAAGTGCACACTTGCTATTTCTTCTCTTAGTTAGCATGTTGATGCAAACCGCTAAAGCCGGGGGTGCAGATGCGAGGGTTGGCACTTCGTCCACAGCGGTGCCACTAGTTCCTGAACATGGTTCGGGGGCAAAGCATTGTGGAGAACGGAGGACTAGTATGTCCATAACTCAGGAAACCCTCACCAAAAGTGGCAAACGCTCCTATAGACGTGCTTATGCCAGGGCTTGCAGAATGGGCGGCACACCTTATCGAGGCCGTTGGCGACCTTTGCAGTGGTTTCAGCCGAGATATGTGCCGGAACAGACTACTGGTCGTAGGACACACATGCCCGACAACGGTGGCCCAGGATGGCGCGTACTATGCTGGAACGCGGGCGGCCTAACAGCTAGCACCTGGCAAGAATTGGAAACATACGCACGCTTGTACCAGTATGATGCGGTCCTGGTCCAGGAAACGAAGTGGCGCCACGACTCGACGTGGTCGAACCAGGCCTTCCATTACGTGCATAGTCAAGGTGTTCGGAAAGAAGACAGCACCGGAGGAGTGCTGATCATGATCGCCACCCGACATGCGAAGGCGAGGGATATTCAGTTTCATGCCATTCACCCCGGCCGTCTCGTACACGTCCGAATCCCGAAGGGACAGACACACATCGACATCATGAATCTCTATCAGTACTCGGTGAGCGACGCAGAGGGTGTGTATGAACGAAGAGCTGCCCTGACCTTCAAGTTGCACAGGTGCTTGGCGGGATTGCCGAGAAGGAACTTCCTGCTCCTTGGAGGAGACTTCAACTGCCCTTGCGAGCCCCATAAGGCGACATGCGGACAGTGTGTCCTGAATCACAACTTGTCACATTATAGGGATTATCAGGACATGCAGAATGTGCTTCGCACCCTACACTTGTGTGTCCTGAACACCTGGTGTCGGCCTCAACATGGACAACTGGCTACCTTCACCTTCGGTAAAATTGCTTCCCAGATCGACTTTCTGGTTGTGAGGCAGCAGCATGCGGATGCCAGGGCCAAGAAGGCCCAGATCCTGGATCGGTTCCCGGTGGGTGCCTGGCGAGAAGGTGCCAATCATCATCCCGTGGTTGCCACCATCACTCTACCTAAACATGTTTATCGAGCAAGTCCCAGTGCTGGGGTGGTACCACAGTTTGATCAGGAATCACTGGCTCGGGACCTCCGGGCAAGTCATACTCCGGAGGCGCTGACTGCCCTGCGCCACGCGGTGGCTTCCACCATTCAGGGTGTGCAGAACGCGCACGCTTGCATGCTACAGGCGGCTGCAGCCCACTATCCCGTGCCGGAGAAGGTGCAGAGGAGGCCGGATCAGCCCGAGGACTTGGCTAATTCAGCCAAACACATGTGGGGCATGTTTAGGCAAATGAGACAACAACGTCGCACTATGCAGGGCATTGTGACGGCATGGCGGATCTGGCAACAATTTCAGCAGGCGCACCGAATACATAAGCACAGATCCCGGCAACGTCTCAAACAACGCCGGGATGATCTCATACAACAGGCTCATGACTCGGCGGTGACCGGTAACCTTTTCGGGTTGTGGCGAGTGGTCAAGCAGCTGGCACCGAAGGCGCCGAGGAAACGTCTGCAGTTACATAGGGACAATCGCATAATCAGCACTGAAGAGGAACTGCAATGGATATTGGACTCCTACGGGGAACGATATGGAGCCGACGCCTCGATCGAGCCACCAGATATCACACACTGCAGTACACAACAGGTCAGCATCAGCCCCACCGAGCTCATCCATGTCCTGCTGCACCTATCTCCTCGGAAGGCGGTACCGCGAGGGTGTGCTCCCACTGTTCTCCTTAAAGCATGCGGTATGCAAATCGCGGAGGCGGTGGCGTCAGACGTGAACCACCAGTGGACACAACCTGCACCTCAGGTGGCGCAGGGCTGGTCCGACGCGGAAGTGGTCCTCCTTCCCAAGGCGCATGGTCGCTCGCAAACACCACTGGACTACAGGCCAATCGGCTTGCAGGACCCGCTCGGAAAGAGCATCATGACACTGCTGATCCAGCAGGCCCGGAGAGAGATCATTAAGTTGATCAGCCGGTATCCTCAAGCAGCTTATATACCAGGTCGCAGCACTAGTACCGCTCTACGGCAGGTGTTCCAGCATTGTCATCGGATCCGCGAGATCAGCAAGAACGAGCGCCTCACGCTCCATCAGAGAGCGGAGGGCCTACAGCAGTCGCAGTGTGTCGGAGGGTTGCAAATTAGCCTTGACCTTAGTGCTGCTTTTGATTTAGCAAGGTGGCATCATCTGAAGCAGGCACTGGACCTCGCAGGCACACCTCTTCATGTCCAGGAACTCCTGCTCAAGTGGCTGATACAGGTCAGGTATCTCTTTCACCACCGAGACAAATCAGGCTTCATTACGCCGAAATGGGGACTCAGACAAGGATGTGTTGCCTCACCTATCTTGTGGGCGGCTTTTACGTCACTCATATGCGTTACGCTGGAAGATCGTCTCGGTGAGGAATGGGTACAGGACCATGCGGTACTCTACGCGGACGACACACACACCTCAGGTGGGCTTTCGACTCGTTTATGCGGCTCGAGAACAGTATCGCTGAGGCCAAAACTGCATTCCGCGTACTGCAGAGCTTCCATCTCAAGATCAACTTCGAGAAGACCAAGGCCATCTTGAAGGTCGTCGGCACCCAACAGGACAAAGTTAGGAAATCGTATGTCCGATGTCAGGATCAAACTTCCAGATTGCTGCTCTCCCCGAAAGACCCGACCACGTGGATCACGCTGGTGACCCAGACTGAGTACCTAGGTCTTATCATCTCATACGGCTCCTTCGAGTTGCAGTCCATGCGGCACAGAGTGTCCAAAGCCAATAAGCGCAGGTGGGCAATGGCGAAGATACTGCACTCCCGCAAGATGGGAATCCACTACAAGCTGTGGGTTTGGCGCAGCTGCGTGCTTAGCACCATGACGTATGGACTACAGAGTTGTGGTATTACTGGTGATCATGCACAGGAGGCACAACGCTCCATGATGAAGCATGTTCGGGCCATCGTTTCCAACCAGGCCCACATCACGGGAGATACTCACGCAGCTATCATGGAACAGTATCACATCAAGCCTTTCCGGGTGCTCATTCAGGAAGCTCATGAACGCGAACTGCAAACGGCAATAGCCAGACAGGACTGGATGTGGGACTCATCGTGGCAGCAGCACGTCCAGACGCAGCTTGCGCACAGGATGGAACAGCCGACTCACTCGGATGAGGCGGAGGTTTGGTCTTGCCCCCACTGTGAGGAGGTCTTTGTTTCTTCAGCAGCATTGAAAACCCATGCTAGACGCACTCATGGCATCAAAGAAGAACATCAACACATTTTCAATAAAGCGGAGCATTCTATCGGTGGCTTGCCCACTTGCCGCTGCTGTGGGAAAAAGTTCTCCAAGTGGCAGTCGCTTGCAATGCACATCAACCAGAACAGTTGCCCAGTTCTCACGCGGGACGCGGAGTCACAGGACAACACTGAGCACTATGACAATATGCCGGATCCTAACAGTGTTGCTGATGTCATGTGTCGCCAGCCAGAGGTGGTTCAGGCATCCAAGAAGGGCATCAATGCATTCATCACTTTACATGAGTACACTCAGCGGATGCGACAAACGTGTGCATTATGTGGTCAATGGAGTACCTCCCATAAAACTCTCAAAAGACACTTCCAGTACTCGCATGCTGACATTCTTGAACGGTTCGGGGCCAAGATTCAACAGTTGGTTGCCAAAAAAGCCACGGCAAGCTCCACGTGTCATTTCTGTTCGGCGAAGTGCAAGGACTGGCGTTCTCATCTACTGAAGTGTACGGTGGCATGGCAGTGTTCACTCTTAGTGCTACTCATGCAGGATAACCAGGAGGAGCTACAGCATGGACGATGCGCTGAGCGAGTTCTTTGGCGAGGTCAAGAGCGAGCAGGAAGGCAAAGCCAACAAGCGGCGGAGGCCGGAGGAGGGCCCCCAACGTCGAACGTCCCGGAGCCACAACAGCCAAAGCGAGGACTCATTACTGGTTTCTTTAGCAAGGCTGACGCTCCGACAGGAGGAAGAACTTCTTGTGCTGAAACAGGATCACTCTCTGATACTGTTCATGAGGCCCGGCAAGGACTCCGTTCTCAACTTCTTGTTCCAAACGGCATCCCTGTACAAGCAGAAAATGAAGGAGACCCCGACGTGGGGAGTGAACTTCCAACCACCAAGGGCTGTCCTGGCATTGGCCCTGTTCAAGGAGCTGGCCAACAGGCTAGAGACAACTTTAGGGGACTCGGCCAAACTCAAGGAGATCAAGGACCTGGGGTGGATGGACGAACAAGGACGGTGGAAGTATCAGGTCTGGAATGCCAGCCTACGTCACCTACAAGAGGACACAGACAGAAAGCCCCTGACCACCGAGGAAATCAAAGTGATACTGAACAGATTGTACGGGCTACTCAAAGGGGATGTGGTCACGAGATTTCATTGCACAAGGAAGCTCACGGAAACCATGGAGGGTCAGGCTACCTTCTTCCTGGACCTGTCGAGTCGCGGGTCGGGACAGGAGGCATGGCAACATCTTCAACTCCTGCAAGGGAGCTGTGTGCTACAGCTGATCGGTCTGGCCTACAAGAAGGCGGGACTTCGCAAAGGACCATTGGCCGAGAAGATCCGGGA